GGGAATACCAGAGGAATGTATATCTGTGTTTCATTGACTTTGCAAAGGCGTTTGACTATTTGGACCATAACAAACTGTGGCAGACTCTGAGAAGAATGGGAATCCCAGAACACTTGATCGTGCTAATGAGAAACCTACACTTGGACCAAGAGGCATTTATCAGAACAGAGCAAGGAAACACTGCATGGTTCAAAATTGGGAAGGGCATATGCCAGGGTTATATCCTGTCTCCAAACCTTTTCAACCTGTATGCAGAACAGATTATCCTTTGAGGCTGGGCTCTATGAGGAGAAATGTGGGGTCCGGATTGGTGGAAGATCTATCAACAATCTTCATTATGCAAATGACACAACCCTGCTTGCTGAAACTGAGGAGGACCTGAAGCGCTTGCTGCAGAGGGTCAAAGACTGTAGCCTTCAGTATGGACTGAGGTTCAATGTCAGGAAGACAAAGATTCTCAGCACTGGACCAATTGGCAGCATCAGGATGGATGGTGAAGAGATTGAGATTGTTCACAGCTTTTAGTTTGCTTGGCTCCACATTCTTGGCAACAGTAGCCAGGAAATTAAAAGACATATTGCGATGGGAAAGTCTGCTGTTATGGACTTTTCCAAAGTTCTGAAGAGCAATGGTGTCTCTCTGGAGACTAAGGTGTGTCTGATAAAGGCCATGGTCTTTGCAATCACTTGTTATGCATCAGAGAGTTGGACAATGACCACGGAGGATAGAAGGAGACTTGATGCCTTTGAGCTGTGGTGCTGGAGAAGAGTATTGAGAGTACCATGGACTCTTAGGAAAACAAATAGTTTCATCCTGGAGAGGGTTAAACCAGGTTGCTCCTTGGAGGAAAGGATTCTGAGGCTTTGTCTAACGTACTTTGGACATGTTGTAAGGAGAGACCGGTCCTTGGAGGACATCATGCTTGGGAAGGTGGAGGTACGGCATAGGACGGGAGGAACCTCTACGAGGTGGATTGATTCAGTGACTGGGGTAATTGGGATGGGTGTGTCGGAGACAGTGTGATTGGTACAGGACAGAGCAAATTTTAGTGCTGTTGTACATAGGGTCGCTATGAGTCGCAGGTGACTCAATGGCACATAACAACATTATGATGTTAGGGCTCTGATGGCCTAGTGATAAGAAGCTGCACTGCAATCCTGTAGGCATGTGGTTCAAATCCAACAGCCACTCCTATGGAGAAGAATTAGTAATCTCCTCTCATTTGATTAACTGCTTCTGAAAACCTATTGGAGGGTCAACTATGGGCCAGTTCTGACTCAAAGTTAAAATAACAATAAGCAACATTATGATGTTGTCTATCAGTCCAGTGGCGAGGATTTTTGTTTTCTTCACATCTAGATGCAAGCCATATTGAAGGCCGTAATCTTTGATCTTGTGCAGTAAGTGCTTCAGATCCTCCAATCCTGAGGTCATATTCTTCTTCATAGAGCCCAACTTTTCTCAGCATACAAATTAAATAGGTATGGAGTAAGGATGTTGTTATTATGTATCATCGAGTTACCTGTAACTCAGAGCCTCCCTATGTACAATAACTCTGAATCCTGTCCTATCCTGAGCCAACCTCATTGTCTTTGACACACCTGCCCTTATTGCCTCAGTCACTGTGTTAGTCCATCTTATGCAGGGTCTTTCTTTCCTGTGTTGTCCCTCCACCTTTCCAAGCATGATAGTCTTCTCTAAGAACTGGTCCCTCATAGCAACATGCCCAAAGTGTGAGAAGGAGCTTAAAAATCCTTGCTTCCAAAAAAAAAATCCTTGTTTCCAGATATCAACTTGGTTTCACCCTCTCGAGGACAAACCTGTTTGTTCTCTTGGCAATCCATGATATGTTCTACACTCTTCTCCAGC